ATTTTTAATTTCGTCTGGATGAAATATTTCCAGAGAACCAGTCGCCACGGACGATAATTTAATTTCGTCTGGATGAAAATTTTCCAGAGAGCCAATCGTCCTGGACGATAATTTATTTCATCCTGGACGAATAGGACTTAGAAAAAAAATTTCGAGCAAGTTCGTATTCGTTCCATATGCTCTATAGGAGATAACTGTCTAATCATCCAGTACGAACGTATATCGTCCTGTACGATCAATATAAATTTTATATGATCTCCTCTTGTGTGTGTGTATGTTTTTATTCACTCAAGTTACAATCACTCCCTTTCAATTTTTATTTCAAAGAGAAGTGTAAGCTTCAAATATTACAGAGTATCTCATGCTGAATTCAATTTGAAGTCATCGTAATCTGGAGTTTGTTTTCCCTGAAATGTTAGTACACAGAAGAGCAAATACAATTCTTCCAAAATTGTCAGGAGATAACTACATATTTGAACAATAATGTTTGGAATCATCAAAACTTCATAAGTTGCAAAAATGTAAAGCATGCAAATAGCAATTATCTTAACATAGATGGCTCCCCATTCCAGGCCGGGGTAAGTCCAAATTTGCACTGCATTAGTTAGGTTCGGGTTATTTTTTAGTACCCAATTTAGACTTAGGTTCTGAGGAAAGCTCTGGCTATAAAATCACAACTTTCAGAAATTGAATCTCAACTTTCTAATAAAATTCACCATTTAAACTTAAATCATTCTCAATCAAATTCAAGCCCAACACTTAAGATAGGCTGGGGTATTTTTGAAGTGATTTAGAATCTCAAAACACCTCCTACCCCTCTTTTTTTTTACTCCAGAAATAAGTGTTCAACATTGAACCATTCCCGTTTGAAAATTCCCACCCTTACCTCCTTTGACATCAAATTTTGAAATCCTTAAATAAAATTTTTACCGCTATTTTAATCGAGAGTATTCGTATGAAATCTCAGTTCCCTACGATGTAGTTAACTATGAGGGCTTGTGTTCGTAGGAGATTTAGTAACACAGACCTGATTTTCATTAATCAAATTTTTAAAACCTTTAATTAATTATCTTTGGGAAGTTAAAATTTAACGATCATTATCGTCGTATCCAAATGATTGATAATAGGTGATATCCTCTTTCCTTAGAAAGATATATCATTATATTATCATGATTTTAATTATGAAATTAATGATCCTTAATCTAGATTATTATAGTCAAACACTTGAGTAAACTTCATTTTGATCTTTTGAGACACCAAATAATTTTTTCAACAAAATAATTTTCTCAGCAAAATATGATGATGGTCACATTTTCAACTTTTTTTAAAAAATCATTCTAATTTATCATTAAGACACCAAATAGTTGTCATTATTCATTAATAAGTCATTCAGAGAATCTCTTATTAAATAAATAGGCTCCATGGGTGGGTTGACAATCACAATTTGAATCTGTAACAAAAATAGTTGGAAATGTTTTGCTATTCTATATAATTCAACTTCTATCCTAGAAGGAAGCATTTTGAAACAAATAACTCGTGATAAGTTAAGTATTTTAGAAAAATGTTGGGAGCCACTTGAGTTTTTGTTTGTTACAGGATCAAAATTAACTACGACAATGCACTTCGCTATATTCGGTTGTCACTAAAAATACCATTCCATCTCATCATTCCTTAATCAGATTGCTTTTCACTAAACAACGGTGGAATTGTCACAATAATTAAAGGAATTTCTATCACAATGAAGCCTTTTCTTAAAATATACCGAGAATAGAACTTGTGAGACCCATTATGTGAATTTCTTAAAATATACCGAGAATAGAACTTGTGAGACCCATTATGTGAAAACAAACATCTCATAATTGTTCTTGACAAATGGCCTCCATGCTCACTGAAGAAAAGCTGAAAGAGAATATAAAAATTTGGTAAATTTGATTTGAGGAAAAATTACCTAACTCCACACAAATAAGTTTGTCTGATCCTTTTTCCAGCGCTGATTTGTTGTTTGACAGGCAAAAAGAAGAACAACTCCAGCATGGAGAACCATAGCCTGCGAGGGCACACTTGGCCAAGAGTATGATCTAGGGTCCCCGACGAACTGTAGCGTCTAAGATGGCGTCTCACCAGCGAAGTCCTCTGGCGTTAGCTTAGAGAATAGGTTAATAGTGAAAAGGGAAGCTAGGTTTCGGAGAAAGAAGAAGATGTAGGATATTACCCCAGCGGCAACGACATCCGGGTTTTTCTGCGATGGAGGTTTCGAGGAAGGAAAGCAGGCAAAGAAGGTGGGCAACGAGGAGTACCAGAGTCACAAAGCTAGGCTTCGAAGGCGGTCTTCGGTATGTCTGGGGCGAAGATGAAGCGCTAAAGAATGTTCGGCTAGAGCTGGAATAGAAAAAATATATTGATTTTTATCAAAAGTAAGAACTGCTGATAATAAGTGCTGTGAAAATACTATAATTTTTGTGTTGTAATTACTGTAGTTTAAACAACTGCTATAGTTAATATTTAGCAGCAGTTTTAAAACTGCTGCTATTTAATGCTGCGATTATATCCTAATTTTAGTAGTGAAAATATACCTTGATTCATGATTAATTTCAAACTATAATTTTTCTCCCTTTTTCCTTTCACTTTCTTCTTTTATGAGTTAATTCTCTATAGAACAAACTAACGCCCATAATGAGAGAGAGAGGCCTCATAGTTATTTCCTTCAAATTAGTTATAATAACTGCTCATTAGAGTTATTTGATAAAACAGTCCATAAACGATTGTTCAAATTATCTATTCTTAACCAATAGGATTTAAATATAAATATTTAAATTTCATTAATTTAAATATATGGGCCACTTAATGGTTTATATAGTTAAATATATATAATTGAATAATTATTATGATGTCTTACATAATTATTATTGATGTATTATCAAAAAATTATCTTTATAAAGCACGAATCTCGAGGCAAAATCTACCCGGAAACTTCAAAAATTAAATTCAAGAGCATTTGAACTCCGATTTCAGGGAGCTTATAGTCAAACTGAGCGTCTCAAAAATACGAACCCAACAACACCAAATTCAACCCAATCCGAGCTTAAATGGATCCGAATCATGGACTCGAAGCACTATTGGAAGGTTCAAACTGCAAATTGAGATACCAAACGGTCTCCGATTTTAACAAACTTATACTCGAATCGAACGGCTCGACGAGAAGAATCTAACGAGCCCAAGATCACCGAATTCCAACATCTCTAAGACCATAAAATGTCCAATGAATGGTGCATGATCGTAGGATTCGATATCGGTCGTCCATTCAACCACTCCCTATTCGCCCGTGATCTCACGCCTATTTACGAGCTATGCCACTCCAGAAAATTTATAAATAGAGCTCTCATTCTTCACGAGAGAGGATCCAAGCAAGAAGGGAAGAGAAGAAGAGAAGAGGAGAAGAGAAGGAAGAGAAGGAAGAAGCTCCTCCTCGACCACCGACAGATCCTCGCCGGACCACCACAGGAGCTCGTCGGACCACCGCTGAAACCTCGTCGGACCACCGCCAGAGCTCGCCGAACCACCGCCGGAACCTCGCCGGACCATCGTCGGAGCTTCGTTGCACCACCACCTCAAGGCCTGACGTTCAGGCCCGACGTTCTGCTAAAGGCCCGACATTCAGGCCCAACATTCTACATAAGGCCCGACGTTCTACTGAAGGCTTGACATTCTGCTCAAGGCCCGACGTTCTGTTTAAGGCCAGACTAACAACTAACACCCGAACTTCCAGGTGACGTCAGGGCACTATCAAGTGACACTGGGTCTAACACCAGACTTCTATCGAACAGTTGCTAGTTGTAATCTGATCGCCCTTGGAGGGGAGTTACCCCTTTGTAATCGACTGTAAATACTAGTGGATTCATTCAAACTGAGCTAGGCCCCGTCGTTTTTCCCTCTTTTAAGGGGTTTTCCACGTAAAAACTCTGGTGTCTCTTATGAACGCTACACCCTCTCACGTATCTGATTGTGTGCTGGATCTTCGTACAATGCTAGGACGTTAAACTATATATTTCTTTACCGCCGCGAATACTCCAAGGCGCAATAATTATATATAATTATTCTAACATAGTAAGCATAAGTCATCCGTTTGTCACGGGATTTTATATATTTTAAAATTTTTATGACCGTACTTAAGCTTTTAATATAATTTATAATTATGCTTTTGTTAAAATTATTCACCTAATAATTTATCCCTCTTCTATGACATGTACTCGGCCAACAGCGACGTCAAACTATTTCTGCAGCCCTTTCCACATTCCCATTTATAACGAAACCCCCCGTTCAAAAAGACTTCATCCTCCCCAAAAATGAAGCTCAAAGTCCTCACAGCTCTCGACCACGCCAAAACTCAGCTTTACCACTTCAAAGCCATCATCATAGCCGGCATGGGCCTCTTCACCGACGCCTACGACCTCTTTACTATCACTCCCGTCCTCAAACTCATCGGCAGAATCTATTACCATTCCAACAAGGGCGGCACCACTCCCCCCATCATCTACACCGCAGTCATCTCGGTCGCCCTCATCGGCATGATCTTAGGCCAACTCCTCTTCGGCTTTCTCGGCGACCGCCTAGGCCGCCGCCGCGTCTACGGTCTTGCACTTCTCCTCATGATTTTCAGCTCCTTCGGCAGCGGCTTCTCCGTTTGCCGCACCCGTGGCTGCGTGCTCACCAGTCTCTGCTTCTTCCGCTTTCTCCTCGGAGTTGGTATTGGCGGAGACTATCCTTTGTCGGCGACTATTATGTCAGAGTTTGCGAATAGGAGGACTAGGGGATCGTTTATTGCCGCAGTGTTTTCGATGCAGGGATTTGGTATATTAGTTGGATCAGCGGTGACTATGGCTGCAGCAGCCGCGTTCGAGCGGGTGGATAAGAAGGTGAAGATGCGTGGCCTGATCGATACGCCGGAGGGGGCTGATATGCTGTGGCGGGTGATATTGATGATGGGGGCGGTTCCGGCCGTATTCACTTTGTATTGGAGGATGGCAATGCCGGAAACTGCCAGGTAATTAGGTTGCAATTATCTATTTCCTAAAATTTATTTATGAAAAAAAATTATACCAGAATTTTCTAATATTAATATACAAAAATAAATTGAAAATTATTAAATTTTGACTAAAATTAATATAATTTAAATATTTTATTAATATTAATTCAAATTAAAAAAAAATTAATATATATATATATATTTATATCCTATTTCTCGTTATGATATAAATATTAGCATAACAAAAGAATTTCAATGAAAATATTGTTTTTAAGCCAAAGTTTCAAACATTGAAATGAACACATGATTTATGAATTTTATGTATTTAAAAATTAAAAAGCTAAATTTCTAAAAATAATAATAAAGTTAGCTAAGCTATAAATATGAATGACAATGTAAAGAATAAATACATGTTAAAACTAGCTAGACAAGTATATTGCAGCAATTAATGATTAAATTTTGGAAAATATTTTGAAAGTAATATGTGAATAAAGAGAGCAGTAATATGTATAAATAGAATTAAAGCTAAAGACTTAGAACTAATGTCAAGAAATTAAAAAAACCAATATAAATTAAAAGAAAACTGCATTATATAAAAAATAAAAAATCGTCGACATATTCAACATATTTTAAACACAAAGATTTCCTTATATGTTGATTATAAGATAGGGATAGTTTTTGTTTTAATAATTTGAATCATATTTTTTATTATCTAATGTTTATTAAGTTTTTGTTTTAATAATTTGAATTATATTTTTTATGATCTAATGTTTATTATTAAAAAAAAATCAATTATTATATATTATATAGAATTATAAAATAAAATTTCTCTCTAATCCAGATTCTTCTTCAAAACTTGCTCAGGTACACGGCCTTGGTAGAGCAAAACGTGGTTCGAGCCAACCACGACATAAGGAGAGTGCTAGTAGACCTAGACTTGCCCTCCATTGACGAAGACACCGAGCTCGGAGCTCCAACGCGGCCCCTTTCTGAACCATACGGCTTTTTCTCCAAGCAATTCCTCCAAATCCATGGCCGCAATCTCTTCGCCTGCGCCGCTGCCTGGTTCATCATCGACATACCTTACTACGGTTCTACCCTTTTCCAATCCAAGATCTACGAACCCTGGTTCAAAGACCCTAAGCTTTACAACGCTTATCGCGAAGCTTACAACGTCGCTAAGTTTCAAGCCATTATCGCCGCGGCATCAACCATTCCAGGGTACTGGTTCACCGTCTTAACCATCGATCGCATCGGCCGGCGACCGATCCAGATCATGGGATTTATTTTAATGGCTGTCTTCCTCTTCTCTCTCGCCGGACCCTACGATGCTTACTGGAATGATCACATCAAGAATGCTTGGTTTTTAGTTCTCTACGGCTTCACCTTCTTCTTCTCAAACTTTGGCCCCAACACTACGACCTTCATCGTCCCGGCGGAGCTTTTTCCGGCACGGTTCCGGTGCTCATGCCATGGCATAGCCGGCGCGGCCGGGAAGGTTGGAGCTATTATTGGCTCGGTTGGGTTTCTCTGGGCTTCTCGGAATGAGAAGAAAGACAGCTTAGGGCGAGGGTGGAAACCGGGGATCGGCATGATGCACTCGTTGCTCATATTAGGAGGGTGTTGCCTTCTAGGGGCATTTATCACCTATTTCTTCATTCCGGAGACCAAACTGACGTCCTTAGAGGACAACGAAGGCTCTGGAAGCAGAGAAGAAGATGAACTGCAAAGGACAGGGCCGGTGAGTACAAACCATTCCAGTATTTTGCCACTTAACCACGCTTCCCCTTCTGTTTAAAGGCATGTCCGCTCCAGCGGAGAATTTAGCTGAAATCTCACGGTTTGCTGAATACATGGCTTTTGGAATTAGCCTGTAAGTATACAGAACCTCCTAAAATATATCGGCACCTTAAGATTTCACTTAAGGATCGAGGGAATAGAGTTTGGAGTGGTAGAGCCATGAGAAGAAGTTTCATGTTGGTCAAATAGTTATAATAAAAAATGTATTATAATACTCAGTTCACTGTATTTATAATAAAAAATGTTGGTCTTAGAAGAAGTTTGATGTTGATTTGTTGGTTGAGAGCTTAAGCTTTAAATCAAGAGGTGGTCATTGGTTCAAGTCTTTGTGTATGCGTTGTATGTGAATTTGTCTTAAATGATCTAAATGTACAAAAAAAATATATATATATTCTTGTTTCCTGTCAGATATGTCGGTTGTAGATGCTTTCAGTTTCAGTGGACTGTATGTCTATGTTATTTATACGTTCTGTATTTTGGATGGAGTTCTTGGAGTTATCATGTTTACAAATTTTATTATGTAATTCTCTTCTTAATAGGAAATATCGATCCAATTTTTTCAAAATTTTCAAATTTTTTTCATGCCGACTTGGGAATGTTATTGACATTTTTAAAATATCGATCCAATTTCTCGACTTTGCTCCACTATTTAAAAGCAAGATTTTAACAACTTCTAATATTATCTTTTTATAATCTTTTGTACAGTCAAAATATCTAGAACATGTACAATTGATAGTCATATTAAATTTTACTGCACTAATCATTTACTGGTATTTAAATTTGGTTAAAAATATCATCTCATTTTGTTTAATGTTATTTTGTCTAATATATATAAATTATAATATTCTTATATTTAAAAAAATTAATTAGCAAGTATAATTTTTTTTATTTACTAGTTCATTATTAATAAGAATAATTTAAGTGAATTGGTTGTTATTAAAATTTAATTTAAGATTTAAATTAATAATTATTATTTTTGTTTAATATATGAGTAATAATTTTTTTGAAAAAATTGAAATAGTATATTATTTATTGTTGCATCTTGGAGTATTAGCGATGGTAGAGAAATATATAGTTTAATGTCTTAGCTATATACGAAGATCCATCACACAAGCAGATAAGAGAGAGGGTGTAGCGTTCATAAGAGATACCAGAGTTTAACGTGGAAACCCCTGAAAAGGTGTAAAAATCACGAGGGCTAGCCCAGTTTGAATAAATCCAATAGTATTTGCAGTTGATTACAAATGAGGCCCTTCTTTAGGAGAAGGCCTTGGCTTGATGATATAAATGTACATCATATAGAGCACATTACATGGTGGGAGTTTCATAGACATGTATGTTTGGTCAACAGAACCATAGTCGATAGGTTGGAGGCCGGAAAGACCGTTGTCTGGTGATGGAGGTCGGAATGACCATTGTAGGTGACGGAGGTCAGAAGGATCGTAGTCGGTAAGAGACTGGGGTCATAAAGGCTGTAGTAAAAGGGCAATACTATGGGAGAACTCGATCTGGGTGTCAAGTGGTGGCCTGGTGGAGCATAGGGCCTTAAGTAGTGGTTCGGTGGAAGTCCAAGCCTCAAGTGGTGGTTTGGCATAAGTCTGAGTGTCAGGTGGTGCCCTGGTGGAGCTTGGGGCCTCAAGTGATGGTCGACCAGAAGTTCGGGCCTCAAGTGGTAACTTGGTGGAGCACAGGGCCTCAAGTGGTGGTCCGATGGAGCAACGGTGTCAGGTGGCGGTCCGACGGAGGTGAGGGCCTCAAGTGGTGTTCCGGCGGAGCAATGGCGTCAGGCAGTCCGACGGAGGTGAGGGCCCCAAGTGGTGGTCGGGTGGAGAAAAAGTGTCAGGTGGTGGTCCGGCGAAGGTGAGGGCCTCAAGTGGTGGCACTACAGGAAAAATGCCCAAAACCGGCGGTTCAAACCGGCGGTTTTAGGACCGCCGGTAGTACAGGCGGCACCACCGGCGGTTTGGCCGTCGGATTTTAACGACGGCTGCACCGGTGATTTTGCAATTGTAAGCCGCCAGTAAGGGCGGCGGTCCCTAAACCGACGGTAAACCGCCGGATGTCAACAAGAACCGGCGGTTTAGACCGCCGTTGATAAGTGACTTTTTACCGGCGGTCAAAACCGCCGGAAAACCATCGGTTTAAGCCCTAATACACCGAGCCCCGCGTCTGGCATTTCATTTTAACTCTTTCCTTCTCTCTC